GCGTCACCAGCTCCAATAGAGTCGGACCGCTATATGACTGTTAGAAGTAATGGAGGACTCAACCAAATGCGTACGGGAGTAAGTTCGTGCACCAAAACTTAGCTTTTAGCTTCATGGTTTATGTGACTTACACTTGCATACTTTTGCACCCCTGTAATAATAATTGCATGTATATATGCATTTTTCTTCTGAATATACAGTTCTGCTTTGTTGATGTATTTATCTATTTTATTATGTTATCTTCTTGATTATTATCATTAAATTAATGTTTTTCTTGAGATTTGTTCAAGTACGGTCACCAAACTTTGTTTGAATCCTGTTATCTCCCCTCTGCAGATCTGTGATATGATTGCAGTAGCCCGCTTGGTGAATGCAACACTTGTTATTCCTCAGTTAGACAAGCGATCTTTTTGGCAAGATACCAGGTTTTGACTGTTGTATATTTGGTTGATTGTCCAATTTTGTTCATGTTTATCTGAAATTCAATTCGCACCAATACGTGCAGTACATTTAAAGACATCTTCAATGAGCCTGGTTTTATTAAAGCTCTGGAAGGTGATGTCCATATCGTTAGTGACTTGCCTGAAAGTTTGCAATCTGCTCCAAGAGCTCGGAAGCACTTTACTTCATGGTCTGGTGCGAGCTATTACGAGGATGTGAAAGAACTTTGGAAGGATCACAAGGTAGTCTTCAATTCAGATACTCCATTAGCTACCTCAATGCACCGACTTGTAGCTGTTTTCTTTTGTCATAAAAAAATAGCATCCTTTCTGTTCAATTAAACTAGAGATTTAGTGGACTACCTTTTTGCCATTTTTTCTTTATATCCTTCAAGATATTGAGTGATGTGATCTGAAACTTTTGGTTTTGTTCTGGTATGGAGAGTTGAAAGTGCTAACGCATTACACTGTTATCAGTTATTGAAATTATTCTTTATAGAAAGCATCTTCATTAATGTTTGCAAGCAATATGACGTATAGAAATATCGCCATTGTATTTTCTATACTTAGCAACATGGCTGTTCTTTGACATGGTGTTTGCATCAGACATTCTCAATTTGACACAAATTATTTGAGCAACACTTACATAAAAATACTCCCTCCATTCCCACAAGGCCACAAACTCAGATTACAGGTACCAAGATAAAATTTAATGGCTGCTTTGCAAGTCAACTTTTCTTTTCGTTAATCGGGATCATTAATACGCCACAAGCATGCAACGAATGAATGGGAAGGAAGTAGCTGAGTGTCATTATGACTACATGCATGTAACTATTAAAAAGTTGCTAGCACGAGGAAACATCATTAATTTTTGCCTCGGTTACTGTTGGTGGCCTTGTATTGATGCAAAATGTATTTTTGATAGTGGTCTTGTATAAGGGAATGGAGGGAGTATAGTTTTTCAAAAAAATTGTTTGAATAATTTGATTTTCTTCTTCTTCTGGACCTGGAGTCTGAAGCTCATTTATTTCAGTTCACCTGATCACCTCCGAGTTATATTCTACAGGTAGTTCACATCCCAAAATCTGATTCACGGCTTGCAAACAATGGTCTTCCAATTGATATCCAGAGATTAAGATGCCGCTGTCTTTATGAAGCATTGCGTTTCTCAGATCCAATCGAGGACCTTGGAAAGGCATGAACATTCTCTTAGTAACTTAAATCGTTAACTATGATTGTGTTACAGTCTTCAATTTGCATTTGGAGATTTATGACACTCTGTAAACTAGGTTCTGAGCCAACATAACACTTGCACAACAGAAGCTTGTGGAGCGTCTAAAATCACGTGGAAAGTTTATTGCTCTTCATCTACGATATGAAAAAGATATGCTAGCATTCACGGGCTGCACTTATGGTCTGAGTGAATCCGAAGCGGACGAATTGAGAATCATGAGGTACGAACAATCAACACAAATTTGAGCAGTTTTATTTCTACATGGAAGTTATATTAACTGGCTTCATGTATCACAACAGGGAGAAAACAAGCCATTGGAAACTGAAGGACATAAACTCAACAGAACAGAGATCTGGAGGTAATTGTCCATTGACTCCAGGCGAGGTGGGGATGTTTCTACGTGCGATGGGATATACCAAGTCCACGTGGATCTACATTGCAGCTGGTGAAATTTATGGTGGTGATAAGTATATATCAAAATTGAGATCGTACTTTCCAAACTTGGTTAGCAAGGTTGTTAGCAGTGTTACTTCTTTTATTGATTAGCTCCACCATCCTTCACCATTCTACTAAACTAATTTACTTCTGCAGGAAGTACTGGCAACAAAAGAAGAGCTTGAGAAGTTTAAGAATCATGCTTCTCAAGTTGCAGCCCTTGACTACATTATTTCAGTGGAAAGTGATGTGTTTATTCCATCACACTCCGGCAATATGGCAAGAGCTGTTGAGGGCCATCGTAGATTTCTGGGTCATCGCAAGACTTTAACTCCTGATAGGTAAACATATTTTC